ACATATTTGTCCTGGTAGAAGCACAAACTTGCTAATTTTATACATTTTATTGAGGGGAAAAAAAAAATAATAAAAAAAAATGGAGCCGGAGGGATATTCCCAGTATTCATGGGAATTCCCTCTTTTTTTCCAGCTCTGCACTTGAAATGTGGCACAATGGGAGAGGAATTGGCTCATTAAAATAACTCAGACAAAGGAAATTATTCCCCTGTTGGAGAAAAGCAACATTTGGAAAGGTTCTCCCACTGACACGGGAACGGGAAGCGGAGAAAAAGGAATTCCCGGTGGAATTTTATCTCCCTAGGAATTGCCCCCTTTGGCTCCTTGACCCCAAACCAGGGAAATGAAGGTTTTCTCGTGGATCCTCAAACCCCTGGAGCATCCAACTGGATATCCATAAATCCCAACTCCCAGCCTGGCTGGGAGCAGGTGAAATAATTCCCCCCCTTCCCTCAGATCCCCGGAGGTTTAATTCCAACCAATTTTTCCCGTCGTGTCTTTTTTTTTTTGGGGGGGATCTAAAAATCCCAACTCACTGCTTCCCGATGCTCCCGAACGCCAGGGAGTGGAAAGTCTTGCAGGTGACATTCCTGGGAAAGGCTCTTTTCCCCTTCTCCACCACAGCCTTGTTGAAGGCCACGTAAAGGAAGTTCAGCTCCGGGAATTTCTCCGCGTACTTGGCCAAGGTCGAGGTTTTCCCCGTGCCTGGAGAAGGGAAGGAAGGAGAGGATGAGGATTCCAGAGCTGGGAATGTTGGTGCCTAACGGAGCGAATCGGGTTTAAAAAATTCCAATCCGTGGCCTAAAAAGTTTTAAAAAAAAAAAAGGGGGGAAAAATAGAATGGAAGGTTCGTGGGTTGGGATAAGGATGGGGCGGATCCCTCGGGAATTCCCGCCATGGGTAAAACGGGCTCGACTCCAGGGAATTAATTTAATTTATTGGCAATTAAATCAGCGGAAGGAAACGAGGAATAAAAGCTAAAGCCTAAAACACCTTCTCCTCAGCCCTCCCCTCTTCCCAGGCTCCGCTTCACTCCTGATTTCAGGGAATCAGGGAATCATTTAGGTTGGAAAA